GTCTTTCAACCCCTTCTCTCAGCTCTGGGCGGAGGCTGCAGAAGACATGGTGTGGTTCATAGGTGTCGTATTTGACCAACGTGTTCCTATCTAGCGTTTGCCGTCCTTAGGGTCAGGTGGGTGGAAGCCCTCAGGCGGCGGCAGTGCTGTGTGCGTGGTTAGGCTGTGCCATCATTTCTGGATGTAAAGAATGATGGTGTCGCTGATTATCGTGACGAGTGTCGTTTTTTTCTGGCTTTGCAAGGTGCCATTTAGGATGTGTCATCCTGTCCCCACGTGGTTGTTAGCACATCCCGCTTTCCCCATGTCCCACATGCTGTGGCTCATCAGTTAAAAAAATAATAATGAACGAGGCGGTGGTCTCTGGTTTGGTCCAGTTCCACGGGGGTCAACATTCAACAAAATAAAGCGTATGGCCTCAAGTAAAGAAAAAGAAGACTCTGAGACTGAGACGACAGCTTTTCATGTAGTCATGCCACCGAAGTCATATCGTAAGCTCGTGCGAGTGAGGTGAGCAGGTCAGAGTCCTTAGCTGGCTGTACAGGTTTGAGTCACCGCGCTCAAAAGAGCATTTACCAGTGTTGTAAAGACACCACTGAATTGCTCCGATTTTTATCTCTGAACGTCCTGCAGCCGCTTGGTTTCCCGCAGAGCCTCGATAGGCGGGACAGAGAAGCGGCCCCGCGCGCAGCGCTTCCTCACGTGCCTTTTTGAGGTGGTGTTCGGCAGGAGGGGGTTTACGAAGGAGATTATTTTGTTCTTTTGACTGCCCTTATTATTGCCGATGACGGACAGCAGCGGAGCGAAGTGAGAACGTGAAGAAACAGGAAGCAACTGCCGAGGTGGCAGCAGGAAGAAGGCAAGATATTTTTAACTGTTTTTTTTTTGTTGGTTTGAGGTTAGGGTTTTTTGGGGTGTTTTGTCTTTTTAAAGCCACTGTGATAGCTCTTTCAGCTGCCAGCCTCTGTATTCATTTAGTTGTGTTTCTGATAGCCAGGAGGCAAGAGCAGACATGGTGAGATCATCATCACGCCTTTCTTAGGTTAATCACATGCTACGGCAAATTTCTGTTACAGTAATGACTGGTTAGGCTCTGCATCCGTCCTCTCTAATTACATGCCATTTGGAGTAGCTCTTTTCTGTTAGAATAACGCCTGTAAACGACAATGGATATGTCCTTTGCCAGGTGCTTGTACGTATAGATCTATTCCCTTCTCTAATACTGAGCCCAGCGTCTTCATTAAAATAATATGATATAGGAGGAGAACTTAATGTTTCAGATGGTGCAGAAGAGTTAAACGTGATCATTGGGTTTTACCTTATGCAAAAGACATTCCTCCTGCTATCAGCTCTTCCAAGGCAGAACTTCCTTACTTGCAAGGCTGGTTAAACAAAAAAGTGCTGCTACAATACGCGTCTCTGGGCGCCGATAGTCTGGTTACTGAGCGGCAAATCAGGTCTAATTATCTGGGGTGCGACCACCGCTACTGGGGCTGCTTCAGCCGTGTGATGAGCGCTTGCATTCAGCGCGCTGGGGGAATGGTCTTAAGGAGAAGGTCGTCATGAAATTCAGACAACTTGCTTTCAAGGATCTGAAAGCATGTTAGAAGTAGGTAACATCCTTTGTCCCATAGAGCCACCCTTTCCAAGACACACCTCCTCAGCAGTAGTCATGTTTTCCTGACCACAAGAAATGTGATTTTGGTCTTGGTCCAGCTCCCGAGAGATGGACGTCCACAGAAACATCACCGTCCTGGTTGCTGCTGGTTGACTGGGAGTCTTAGCAGAGAAAGCAAGAATTGCATGGGCACTACACCAGCATTACGCTTTCACCCCTACAGTGAGTGATAGCCTACAGCCTGTAGTGATTGCCTACAGTCAGTGTTGCTTGTTGATTTGAATCCTCACTGCCTTGGCAGTTGAATAGCGTTGCCCACAGGTCCCAGCGTTGTTCTTCACTCCTATATAACAGGACTCCAATGGTAAAAATGAGACAATAATAATAAATAAGGCTCCGATAATAAAAATGCTTTTTCAATTCTGTAATTAGTTGGGTTTGCATGCTTTTCTCTTGCATAAGACTTATATTTCATTCTGATTTTTATTAATACCTAAGAAAAAGCACTGTAAAAAATTACCGCATTGATTTGGATTACTACAGTGCCTTTGGCTCCTGCCATCAGGACGGCCTAGTGAAGAATCTAACGAGAAAATAGCTCCCATGACTTTGACAATGAAATCATTATAAAAATCTTATTCTCATGAACTAACTCATTTTCAGAGTCACCCCAGGCAGTAGAATGACCCAGCCGGTGTTCGAGGGCCAAGCGAAATGTCTGGGTGGTTGTGCTCTGTTGTCCCACGTCAGAGAATAGGTCCACGTGGGTTTTTTGGGGGGCAGAATTTCCTCTGTCAACGTTGTATGTCAAAGGCTTGGTAGCAGAATTGCTTTTAATGAGCATGTGTGGGAGTCATTTAAGTGTGTTTTTCTAGTGATGCTGGTGAAAAGCCACTCAACAGATGGGGAGAATTCATGTGGGGGTTCAGATCAGAACTAATTCACTTAATTGAAAAATTAGGAATGGTTCCCCTGTTGCGTGGGTATGAGTTAAAGACAGTGCTCTGGTGTGCAGATTGCCTTTCCCAGGTTTTGTAGAGTGAAGAGCCAAACAGATTTGCTCTGCCGTCTTTATTTCTTCTGAAGCTCTTTGCCGAGCAGTACGTCTCATCCTAAAAATGGAGGTTGATTTTGTTCCATTACTTGTTTAGCTGTTCTTAAATAAACTCTGAATCTAACAAAAAAAAAAAGTGACCTGCCTGATGGTATATACTGTTTTGGTTTGCATTGGTATTTGGAAAAGGAAAGATGAGAGTAACAGAATTTAGACCGACAGATGCCCAAAGCCATCTGCTCCGCTCCTCGTGGTCATTAGGCGTTCGTAGTACGACAGCGTGAACTTGGAACGGCTCTCCTTTCCTTCAGGACTACCTTGGCTGGCTTTAAAGTGAGCACAACACGAAGTGAAGACATCTTGTAGGCGGACACAAACCTCCACCCGTTTGCAGTCTGGTTTACATAAACCGGACGCTTCTCAAAGAGCGTAGCAATCATGAGCCTTGGTGGGAAGGCATGTTGGAGGGAGGCAGGGGCAGGATCACGGTTTCCCAGGGCTGGCTTAACCCGGCAGACTCTGTCTGTCTGTGGTTGGACAGAGCCCAAAGAGAGAGTGTAAAAATAATAAATTATTAATATCTGGAAGACATAAAGCTTAATGAATAAGTAATAAGTTGCAGCATTTTCCTTTTCTTAGAAAAACAGGCTGGCTGTATTTGTTTTAATTTTCCTTTCATTGAGCGTTCTTCTCTTGTTGCTTTTTCTAAGTACCCTAAGGTGCTGAAATTTAGGATTAATTTTATAGAAACTAAGGAGGCTATACTGCTACCATTCAGGCTGAGAGAGAGGAGGAGAGTAGGGATGTTTTCTGGAAAGGGCTTTTGCTGATTTTGCTAGTGGGTAGGGAGGGTCTGGAGCAGCGGAGCGATTGCCCAGCCCCTTCCAGCAGCCTCCCCCGAGTAACGTGGCGAAGGAGAGAGACCCCGCCGTGTGCCTGCAGGGCCGTGGGCATGCAGAGGTACAGGAGTTTTCCCAGCATCATCCCTCTGGTAACATAAAACTAAATGTGCAGGGTGTCTCCCAACTCTCATACCTGTGCTTTGCTGGCAGCAGAACCTGGGGAAAACCTTTTAAACAGAGGTAGCCTGCTGTTTGAAAGATGTCTGGGGTGGGATTTTGTCACTGGCCGCCACCACTCTGCTGTCGGTGATGGGCCCCCAGCCCGTGACCTCTAGCAGGGTCCGAGTTGGGCAGTGCGAGTTTCCTTTGGAAAGCCCAGCCAACGAGCCCATTTGGAGATCACCTCCTCTTTGAAGCGATGGTTTCTCTGCAGCCCTGCCCGGACTTCAACCTGGAGAACTCTGCTCCGCCTGCTTAAAATCCCTCCCCAGGGTTTCGCTGGGTACAGCATGGGCCCCTCCTGTCCTGCGGTCCTGCAGTGGTCCCCTTCCACTTTCACACCCCCTGCTTGTAAATTGGTTGCTACATCATCGGTGTCCCCTTTTATGAATCGAGCTGGCTTCCTTGTAATTATTTTTCAAAGGCTCCGAAGGTGAAAGCAGTAGGTATGTGCACAGCCCTGGTGCTGTGCGGTGCAGTAGCTTCTCCTGGTGCCCATCTGCACCACCCAGCAGGTCGGTGTCCCTCCGTGTTCCTTCTCCCAGGGAGGTTTGGGCTCATCTGCGTTAGTCCGGACGGACCTCTGCCCGTTGTGAGCACGTCCTTGCCGGCAGTGGGGTTAGAGAAGGGCTCTGGGTGAGGAGGAGGGGGAACTGGTGCTCGGCGAAGGTCCGGGATCCACTCGGGTCACAGGGTGGGGATCAGATCTCTTCTTCACCAAGGCACAAGAGGCAAGGTAGCACCTTGCCGGCCACAGGTGCCTTGCTAGAGGGTTTTATCACAGTGAGTTTATTTTGTGACCTCCAACTCCCACACAAAGTCTGTGCCCCTTCCCGTTCATCCCTGCTTTCACTTCATATTTCTCTTTTTTTTTTTTTTTTTTATCCCTCCCTCTTGGCATGTCATTGTGTTTTCATTAATGTATCAACAGGAAGGCAGCTGTTGTTGCTTTGTGCGTAGTATTGTCCTCTCCGTGCAGACCTTGGAATTGGGAGATCCTTGGAATCCGTGTCTCTTGCGTGACTTTTAGGCAGAATCAGGTGCTTCACTTTCCTCCTTGCCTGCAAGTATTTCTCTCCAAACTGTAAAATCAATCAGTTCTGGGTACTTTTCCCTCTTAACCTGACTGCTGCTAACACTGTTTCTTTCATCCACAGATTAGCTTTCCAAGAAACCTGTTGCCGACAGCCTGCCCTGTTGTACCCACTGCCCAGCGAGAAAACCCCCGAGGAGAAGCTGAGGGCCAACCGCATCCCGGAGGCAGTCCATGGGGACTGTACCAGATCCTCTGAGATCCGCCGAGCTTTCCCTGGTCACAGCTTCTGCGGAGGAGGACCACCTGGGAGACCTGCAGGCTGCTAAGCCCCAGCCCCCCGGCGCAGGGAGGGCCAGCAATGGTTTCCCATGCACCCTGTCTGGCTCTGCCGGGGTTTGCTTGTTCGACCTGAAATGCCCGGCGCCTACCGGCACGCAGAGGTGTGAGCGATGCGACGAGGATGATGCTAGCCAGCAGGAAGCCATTCCTCCAGGGCTCACCAGCAAAGCTGTGGAGGGGCATCCTGCAGCCATAGAACCTGCTGGTTGCCCCCATAGACCCTGCTGGTTGCCCCCGGCCAGCGGGCAACCAGGGACCGGCAGCAGGAGCCCCCTTGGCGGGGCAGGGGTCCGAGATGATGCCAGCCCCCCAGAGCTCCCGGCAATTTGTGCAAGGCAGCCAGGCAAAAACAAGCTCCCTGACGCCAATGGATGACTCTTCCTTGAAACCTCATGGGACTGATGATCAGCTGGCACTTGAGGTGTTAAATTATTCTTCCCCAGGCGACCCTGTCAGGGGCAATGAGTCCTGTTGTACTTCTCAGGCAAACCTTCTGCAAAGAGGGGAAAAAGACGGGGGAGCAGAAAAAAGTGGTCCTGGTGCGTGTCAGTCAGCCTCGCCAGCGAGGCACACCGAAGCTGACCTGGGGAGAGACCCACAGACGGGTTTGGAGGCAAAAAGCGGGGCTGCAGACACGACCCAGCTGCATCCCACGGATAAAACCCAAGCAGTGCAGAGCGGCGAGGCGCCAGCCCAGCCTAGCCACGGGAGTCCGCATCCCGTACGCAACGTGGATGCCGAGCTGGGGAGTCCAGCCCCCGCCCAGCTCTCCAAATTCAGAGAAATGGGTACAATGACGGCTCAGCCGGAGGGCAGCTCTTTAACTCAGGAAGCAGTAAGCAGGACATGGAGAGATGCTGAGGTTCAGGCCGTGGCTACCGTGGAGAGCAAATCGGCCTCCACCAGTCCCAGCATCCTTGCTGCCTTCTTAAAAGGGAATCCTCCTCCAGAGGAGAAGGAAGAACTGCACATAATTTACCAAGGGGGTATGGCACTGAGCCAGTCTGCGCTTACTGACAGTTCATCCTCCCAACAGAAGTCCCCACGTTCTCCTGGTATCACGTCAAAATCGACTGTTGTTACGGCTGTGACTGCTTCAGCCCAAACCCACCCTGTCAAACTGCCTGGGGTCCCATCTGACATGCTGTGTCCCGCATCACCGGATAATGCAAAACCTCTTCTCCCCTTCTCCCCTGCAGCCGTGACCTCCCAAGGGACGTCTGTGGGTAATGCTGAAACGATGGGTGCAGCCCCTGAGGGCGAGGATGCTGCTCGGCTGCCGACGGATGCTCCAGCCCCACCAAAGCCCATCCCTGTTGCGCAGCTTGCAGTTGACTCCAGTAATCAAACTCCGGCACGGTCTGGGCCTGGTGCTGGTGAACCACGCACCATGTCTGCTGCCGCTGTCCCGGGAACCGAGAACAACCTGCGAGATCTTGTCCGTGATGCGGGGAGCAGCCGGTTACCTTTACTGTGTAGCACAGGCGGTGAAGCCGAGCAGAAGGAGGTCCTGGGCAGCTTGGGGCAAAAGGCTGTGCACAGTAAGGATGCGAGTCAAGGGGGGGCCGTTCCCAATCATCCTGGGGCAAAACCGAAGGAAGAAAACTCAGTGGTGCTTGATCCTAAAGGAGGGATGAATGTCAGCAGCCATCCTGCCGCTGTCCCCATCAAGGCGTGCTCGGAGGATGCAGGTGAAAAGGAGGAGAGCGGAGGCCAGGGAGATGCTGGCCTTCAGGCAGGGCTGATGCCGGAGCTGGGGGTGAGCTCTGCACGTCTCACCCCTCCCTTGGAGGCATTGGCTGCTCCCCAGCAGCGAGGGCTCCAGGCCAAGGAGTCCAGACGTGAGCTTCACACAGCAGCTCTTCCAGCTGCAGCTCCGGCTTTGCCAAACCAAGAGGAAAACAAAAAGCAGCCCACCCCGGCCATGGAGGCGAAAGTGCAGGTGAAGCAGTCCAAACACGTCAGGGATGTTGTTTGGGACGAGCAGGGCATGACGTGGGAGGTTTACGGTGCTTCCCTCGATCCAGAATCCCTGGGAATTGCCATCCAGAACCACTTACAGAGACAAATACGGGAACACGAGAAACTGATCCGGGTCCAGAACAATCAGACCCGGAAATCCATTTCCTCGGATACATCCTCAAATAAAAAACTGAAAGGGAGGCAGCACAACGTGTTCCAGTCCATGCTGCAGAATTTTAGGCGTCCTAACTGCTGCGTCCGACCCGCTCCCTCGTCTGTGTTAGACTGACGTGGTTTGCAGGGGTGCGTCGATGTCTGCGGTGGTAGAGAGAACCCTTCCCCTCAAGTCTCGAGTCCTGCTGTTCAGTTGTGGTGTTGGGGTTGTGATGCAGCAACAGTGGAAAATGATTCCCCTTTGTTTTCTCAGTAGCCCCACGCTCCATCACGCCGTTATCATTGCCACAGCTGGTGTAGTTCCACATGATGCCCCCATCCCGACTACTGTCAGATGAAAAGCTAGGCACTTAGCAAAAGCACAAATGTAAATTGCCACCTTGCTGCGGGGAGAGCGGCACCTTCTGATAAAGCAAGAAGCAGAGAGATTGTCGGAATTATTAAGGGAAGTTATTTGTGTGCATCACGAGGTCTTATACAAAGGGGTGGGCTGGGGGAAGCTGGGTGAGGCACAACTAAGGTTCAACAGCTGTAAAGACCTAAGGCAAGACAACTTCCCTGGCGGGTACGTTACCCACGCTGAGGCAGGTCGGTGAAAAAACATTGCCCGCCGAGCAGTCGCACGTCTGGGGATGCTGTGGGGCACCGTTCTCCTGCGAGCCCCAGAGAGCCGGGTCTTCCCCTCCCGTCGAACTGAAGAGCCAGGGGGAGAGGGAGGATCAAGGCGGAAGGACGATCTCTTTGGGAGAAGTTATCTCGGTGGGGTTCGGATGGCTAGAAGGGGAGGGGAGAGAGGGAGATACCCTGTGGGCTTTTTCCCCCCTGCATCAGCCACCCCTAAGGTGTACGCAGGCGAGGCAGGGGGGAGCACGTCCGTAGATGGACCCGCAATCGACAGGACAGGGCCCTCACTCGCCCTGGGGTGCTCCGGCCAAGTCCTTCCCATGGCGCTGAGCACCCCTCCTCTAAATCACTCTTTAAAGTGATGTGGATCTCTTCTCTCTTTCCAGAGATGCACAGTAACGTTTTCCCATAGGAAAACATTATCCTGTGCATCTGGGTCCATGAGCCTACATGTCTAGCGTGTTACACTGATGGGTTTTTTTTCCAAGTCCTTAGCCAGCTCTACTTTCTTTTTTTTTTTTTGCAGTATTTTGGTGCTTTTCTTGCTGCCTTTCATAAACCAAGTACCACTTGTTTAGCCTGTGCGTATTTTGTTTTGCCTAATGCTCTCTATATTATAAACCATTATATTGTTAACTTGAAATGTTTACTTTGCAGAAGTACTGAAATCCTGAGACAATCTTTGCTGTATTTCTAATGTTAGAAAAGTTGTAGAAATTGCTAATAAAAGGTAGCTTAGTGACTGTTTCTCCAGAAGCGTGATATACAATAATGTCTCAAATGTATGTTGGTCACATTTCTCACCTTAATAATATTTTTCAACCTGGGAAATGTGTTTCCCACTAGCTTTTTATTCCGTCCACTAGAGTTCATGATGGGAGCTGGGGAACTCCTGCAGTTTGTAGAAAATTTAGTTTTCAATCCTGCAAAGCACTGAGGATTTGGATATTGTAATCCTGCAGAGTACTAGAGTTAAGTAGGGGTTATTTTTATTCCATTAAAGATTTTTCATGAATCATGATCATAATTTATTTCTGTCTCTAGTGCCACATACCTGACTTACTCTGTAGATCTTACTCTTACAACTTACTCTCTAAATCTTACAGCTTTACACAGTGTAAACAAGTATTAATATCTTTTCTCTTTTCTCTTTTTCTTTTTTTCTGTGAAGCAGACCTGAGGTGGCCCCCTGTTATTTAGGAGCCCAGACTTTTAGAGTGTATCAACTGCCAAGCCTTCAAAGCAGCTGGTTTGGGGCAATTTTTCCCCAGCAGAGAGGTGAAATACTGTAAGATACACAATATTTTAACCCAGTTCAATGAAAGGTGTTGCCCCTAGGCGTAGTACTGGATTGACTTCTAGTTTTCTTCTGGTATGTATTTGGGGGCTTTATGGCACGTCCTTCTTCCGTTGCTGTATGTTATTTCAAGTCCTCTCCCACTTGATGCTGAATTGCTAATTCTGAAATACCGCATTAAGCTGTCTGCCCACCTCTGCCTGCCGGGGGAAAGTCTCCCACCTTTTTTTCTGTTGGTACCGCTGTTTCCATCCCCTTCCTAGCAGTGTCCATGTGAAACTTTGTGTGGGATGAATCTTGGCAGTATCGTGAGGTCAGGTTAGTGGACCAGGTTGGTGTCTCTTCCCACGTTGTGTCCGTGTCAGCCCTGAAGAGGTTCCCCGAGGTGTCCCTGGTGTTTGCCGTGTCCTGTCCAGGTCCCGAGCTTTGCTCTGCTCCTCTCACCTCCCCTCGGCCCGCTCCCTCGCTAGCCCAGCCCGTCTTCCCTCGAAACCACGTCCCGTGGCTCGGCTCGCATCCCTCTCTCCCGTCCCCTCGCTGCCACGTTGTGAGCCAGCTTACTCTGAACTGTCCCTTTACAAATACGCTCTGTCTGAATATGTAAATGGATGGTTGTTGGGTTTTTTTAGAGGAGAATAAATGGCTGTCACGCATCCGCTGATTGCCATTAACTTTATCCTTTAGCTTAAGCTCTCCAAAATATTTCTAGTGTATGGGTATTTTGGTATATTAAATATGGTATATTGCTTTATTGAGACCAAGCTGGGCTTGGCAATGAGTGAGCAGGGTGCTGGGCCAGCACTGGGATTAACTCTTCTTTTGAGGAATGGGAGATCTCTCCTGGGCCCCTGCAGATGCTTCCAGCTGTGAGTCTTCACCAGCCGGTCCACCCACACCTCCCTCCCCACTCCAAACAACCTTTCTTCCAGGAAAATGTCATCAATACATACGTACAGGTTATGAAGTGGATGCATCTGAACAACTGCGTGGGCATAACTGGCAAAACCGTAGTGGTCAGCAGAGCCCTGTGCTTCTGGATTCTGGGAAAAGATGAGCAACTGCAAAATGTTGGTGCTGCTGCCCGGTGGGCAGGCACACGTTTGAAACCAAGCAGTAACGTGCCAAAAACCAACACACAAAACCGAGTCAATCACCAGCGCATCTCATGGAAAATATTTTCAGTTTTCACTTTACCTTGCTAGGGCAGACTGTAGGCAACCTGCTAGTTTAACTGGTAATCTATGCTTTCTCCTGCGTACAGTGTCTAGATGACGATGTGAATCCTCGTAGGGATGATGGATCTTTCACCAGTAGCAAAACAGAGCCATGTTTTGGGTAGCAGTTTGCAAATATTATACATGTGAGTGGTCTTGTAGCAGCCAAGAAAGACTGTTCTTGGTGTCACATCAGTGTCAAAAATGAAAGCGTCCTTGGAGTAGCGATATAGGAGAGGGTAGGGGAGATGATCCGTGTGCCACCACCCTGCTCCCTTTCTCTGCCCAGTGACTCAGAATCACATTGCATTGGCTGGGTGGTTAACAACCAAGGAAATTCACTTGGGCTAATGAAAAAGAGCGTGCAAAACAGAAAGTACTTTGTCATTCCCAAGAGTAAATCTGTATGAAAAAACATAACAAAACCCCAAATCTGTGTTGCAGCCTAGCCAGTTGAAGTAACTCTTAAATTCAGTTTGTTGCCAGATGCGAAATTTTGGGAAACAAGGTAATTGTCAGGAAACTCTTCCCTGTTGGTTCTGGGCAGGTTGACGTGGCCAGAACCGTTAATAAAAGCTGTGAATGGGAATGGAAGAGTCACTTCTCGTTTCACTTCAGGAGCTTTCCGCTAGGAAAGATGAGAATAAGCATGTTTCAGTTTAGCCAGTACAAACCCTGAGTTGAAGGAGAATCTCACTGGAGGCAATTTGCAATCTGGTCCTGGATTTCATGGGAGGCTGTGACGTGCCCCACTGTCTGGGTGCGCATGGTTGGTGGCTGCCAGCTTTGCGTGGCAAGTCCTGCCTCGGTTCTGCTGGCTTGGTTTGGAAAAAAAGAATGGGGAAAGAGCTGGAGGGACAAGGAGGAGAATATGTCTTCTCCATTTCAGAGGAAGAAAACCTTCTTTTCAATGCATAAGAAGGAATTGCTGAGAAACATGGGGATGGAGGGACCAAAAGAGAAGTAAACCAAAGTTGATGTAGGTGCTTCACGAGGCATTCCCATTCCTCTGTCTGTAAAGCCAATGTTTTGCCCATTTGTTCCTTCTGAGCTCACGCATTTTTCATATTGTTGGTGTGCCATGGCTTTTAGGAAAATGAACGTTTCCAAAGGCTGTATATCTTGCTAGTATGTATCGCTACATCCAAATACAATTCAATGAAACCACTGGGGAAACCACCTCAGTTTATTACTGCTACTACCACGCAAGAGCTTGTAAAATGCTCCGTTTGGCGATGTGTATTCCAGGGATTCAGAAAAGGTGAATATATGCTCTAAAGATAACACTAGCTTTTGTCTTGAATTTCATTACTATGTTGAAGTGTTAAAGTTAGGCGTGGAAATCCAAATGAAAATCAGTGTTGAAGCTGATGGGAGATTTAAGTTGGCTGCCACTGGTTTTCAGTTTGGAAACTTGATGGACTCTACCATATCAGTGTTTCATTACTCACCGCAGTACATGCAAGGTTTGTATGGTCTTAGAAAGTTAAGGGCTATGGTCTGAAGGAAACTCTCCCCTCTTCCCCCCCTTCATTTTTGTAACATCTCAACCTCTGCTGGTGTATTTTTCGGTGACTCTGTGATGCCTGTATGAGTGGTCAGTATTTCCAGTCATCCTAAAGATATGCACATAGATCCTTATCCAAGTGCTGCACGCTGCCAAATATCTCTGGAGTCACTGGATGCCGTGGTGATCCGTGGGCCTGAAAGTCAGGTCCTGGATGTTGAAATGGCTGCAACGTTCTCTTAGGGGCCTGAATTGTCCCGCTTGAGTCAGTGTAGAGGTTTAAAAGAAAGAATGAAGTATTACAGCTGAATTGAGCCAAACCGAAATTAGCATCATCCCTTTTTATTATTTTTGAAACTCTGAGATTTATTGGTTTTTCTGCTTTGTGCTTTTCTGAGCAGCTCTTCCTTCCCAGAGTTTATAATGTGGATTTTGCATCAAATCCTGGCAAGGAAGATTTTGCAATGTGAAAC